CACCCCACCCTTCCTTTATCCATGAGAAGAACCCTAATCCCATAACTGTAAACCGCAAAAGCTCACCTCCCAGCCTGCTACCAGCAAACAGGCAAACAAGCTGACAGAGAACAAGGCAGATTTCTAGCTGGATTCTGTCAAATGGTTAGAGACTAGCCAGCTCAGAATGTTTTCGTTATGCCAAACCAGCCAGTCACACTGAACTTCATATTCTGACTAGCTTGTGCATATCTAAGAACTTTCCCCTTTTAACTGCCACACGTCCCAAGGAGACAGACAAGCAAAAGTACAAAAGTTGTCTGAGTGGCTGGGAGGTGCTCTTCCCCTTGCCCCACATTTCCAAAACACCACCTGTCCAGTGCTCTGAATTGATTGTAGAAACCTGCACAGAATACAAAGAAAAACATCTGCCCACACCCCCGAGCTGGTTAGAAGCACTGACTTCAGTAGTAAAGCTTTCCTGATCATTTTACAGCAAGACTGCATCACTTCTGCTCCAGATGCAGACGTACCCACCTGCTGCATACATACCACTTAGGGTTTACAGCACAATCATAACAATGATAGTATCAAGGACCTAAAAACCTGCTCCACTAGACCAGAGCAGATTTGAAGCCCATTTTCTTGGGGGCAATGGTGCAAAAAAGCCTGAAGTAGGCCTTTAGAGAATACCCGCACCGTAAGAAAAGCTCTCCCTAAAGCCCTATTGTTTAGCACTTAGCCAACATCCTAAAAGCATGAGAGTTTACTTTTTTTCAACAGTACCACACAAATTCAAACCTTTAGGACTAGAAACCTGAATGACATGAACATTTCTAGAGAAATCTGTGTTCCCTTTAAAGGAGGCTGCTAAGCTCTTAGAGTCAAGGGTAACATCCAGCAACATAAGTTCAAAGGCACAGTTAACTGCTGTGTTAAAAGAGGCGAGTCTTTGTTAGTGGGATGTATGCTTTATTACGTTTTCATTGATTGTTTTCTTTTTCTTGCAGGATAAGAAAGACATTTCTATTCATCCTATTAGCCTTCGCTCTATTAATGATCAATACTTTCTATTTTTATCTTTGACAGAGGTAAACAGTCTTCTCTCTGGGGAAACTTGTCTCTATGTCTTCAATAATTATTCCTGTTCAAGCTCCTTACGCAGCAAGAACGGTTTCAAACTTTCTGTAAGCAGGAACCATCTTCAGTATTTCCTCTAGATTTCCCACTCCTCCTCTTCTCCCACTCTTGACAGCTTCACAGTGCTCCAGGCAGCTTTCATAAAGCTGTGCCTGAAACCACTCTAGTCCCTTTCCACAATTCATCAGAACCCAGTCACGCACACGTTCCTCCAAAGCCCTCCTTCCACTACACACTGCAGCTGTCAAGGCTGAGTTAGCCCTCATGGAGCAACTGAAATTTCAAAATGCCACAAGCATCCAAACAAGACCCATCATAACTCACCTAAGATGCAAGAGAACACAGGCACAGCAATAGTCTACTCACACACACCTACCACACCAGCACATGCATACGGTGTCTGTCAGTCGGTTCGGCCTGAACCACAGGAGGCACAGCAAACACAAACCTGTTGCCCACCACCCTGCTGTGGTATACTGTGCTCCCAGCCCACCCAGCGCCAGGACAGTGACATCCTCCCAATGCCACCCAGGAGAGTGGTAGCACCGGGGAGCGCGGGAGCTGTGCCAGTACGTGTGTGTGCAGGGGGAGTGGGCGGGTGGGCTGAAGCAAGGACATGTGGCAGGCGGGGGAAGGAACTAAGTGGGCTGCACCAGGGGAGGTGGACTATCCCCTCGGGGGTGTACTATCCGGAGAAGGCTGTGCGGGCTGCACTGGGAGCTTGTGGGGAGACGCGTGTGTGTGTCGGCACGGAAACCGTGCGGGAGGAATGCGCGCGGAGGGGGAACGGGGGGCGACCCTGGGACGAAGGGGGGGCACGCCGGGGGGAACCGGGCGGAGGGCTGGGGGGAGCGCACGGCGGGGATCGCGGGGGCGACGCCGGGGAGCGGGAGGAGGGATCGGGGCGGGAGGGGGATCGCGTCCACACCGGGACAATGCGAGCGAGTTCCTGGGGGCCGCACCGAGCCACCCCCCACCAGCGCGGCTCCTCCGGCCCGCCCGCAGCCGCCCCCGCGCCCCGGCTCGGCTCGGTGGCCACCCTGCCCCCGCCACGTCTTACCCTGCAGCGGGCGGGCGGGCGCGGCCCAACCCGGTGGGGCGAGGAGGGGTCGGGTCGAGCCCTGCCCCGCTGCCCCGCGGGCGGCGCCGGCACCGGCGCGGGGGCGCGGAGGCCTCAGGAGCCCATGGCGACGCCGGGCCCGGCCCGGCCCTCCCTCCGCGCCTGCGCACGGCCCCGCGCGCCCCGCCCACCGCCCGCGCTCAGGGGGGCAGGGTGACGTCACCGCTTCGTTCTTAAAGGGGCGGTGCCGCCCGGGAGGGTGATCGGGGTTTGCCGCAGCGCCGGGAGGAGGGATGAGCTTCCCGGAGATGGGCGCTCCAGCAGCGCTCTCCCCCCACCAGGCCGGCTAAGGACAGCAGTGCCCTGAGATAGATTCCCCCCGAGGCATATTTCCACCTCTATCTTAGCGCTGTTTTTGCCCACACTCCGAGGGGAAAAAAAAAATTCAAACATAGAGCTGTTAGGAACGTGCCCCAAACTCCCCAAGGAAAAAAATATACATATAGGTATGGGTGTTGGAAACCAAAGTGGTGCCTCTATTCAAACCAAAACAAGGCATTTTCAATCTAAAAAAAAAAAAAAAATAAAATTAAAAGCCACTAACCAAGCCCTAAAACCTTTAATAACCCCACAAAGCACTGCATAGAGGGCTGCATGAGCAAGAGGAGGTGACATCCCACCTGAGATATGCCTGATGACTTTCTCCTTTTCTCCTACTGCTTTAGAAGGACACTTGTCCTCTCGAAACATAGGTGCACCTGTGGAGCTGCTACCCCACACCTCCCAAAACGGCAGCATGTTTCCCTTCTGTCACAGGATAGTACTCCTACCCGAAACCCGGCAATCACTCCTGAATCCAGCCAGATCATGGCTCTGCTGCCTGCACCACACTGCAGTGATGGGGGTGTTGTCTTCCACACAGGCAATGTTCCTCTTTCTAACTGAAAACAGGATTTATAAAGGAAAAAAACCCAGTTTCATTCTGATCTATCAAAACCACAGTCAAAATGGAGGCAGGACAAATGCAGTTTAGAGGCAACAGTACAATACCCCTGAACTACCCTCTTCTTCCCTTCCCTCCTACTCTTCTCTCATCCCAGAAGTTGGAAGCCTCACACAGCAGGAAAATGAAGGAGCAGCTCTTCCTGCTCAGCTGGCAGAGAACAGGCTTGGAAGGAATTTCCAAAGTCACCAAGACCCATCCATTTATTCCCAGCAGGTGTTTCTGAAAATCAGTTTCAAGAGTTTTAGAGTGCCTGGCAGTAACAGACCACTCATCTGGATAATGCAGGGACGTGTAACTATAGGAGCAGAGATTTAGAAGTAAATCAGTATTAAAATTTAGTAATTTACTGTCAGACAGGTCAGACAACCAAGGAGGGAAACCCAAACAAACCACACTGCCAGAGACACCAAAGCAGCAGGTGCCACTTCACAGGGAGTTCAGCCTGTTTTCATCAGGCACAGTGGTGCTGTTAGGTGCTCAGGGCTGATGCCCGGGCCCCTCCTCTTCCCATTCCTTCAGGATTTCAGTTAGAAGACAGAAGAAAGCAAGAAAACACATAATCCAGGGTCCACCTCTGTTGAAGTCAGTACACACCCAAAGCCAACAGCGCAGACAGTCCCATCCCTCTTCTGCTGAAGGCCAGATGCACGGGACGCCAGAGGCTCAAATCCAGGAACCAAGAGATCCTGAATCAGATTTCACATAACTCTTGCCTGTTCCAAGGCTGCAACTGCAGAGATCAGCTCAGGTTTATTTTTAGGTGCTCCAGTCCTGTGCCTTTTTTCCAGTAATTCTGATCAAACTTGTTCCTGGAACTCAGAAACAGGTTCAGCCGCAAGACAGTGCTTCCTGCATGCAAGATGTGACTCCCAGCAAGGATACCAGGGTCAGTGAGGGAAGAAATGACAGATGCTGGCGTCACTTTATCATTTTCTACTTTATTACTTCAAATTAACAACCACGATAAAGCTCAAAAAAGTCCAATATTTACACAGGAAAAAAGTACAAAATCCCCCCCAAAGTTCTTCAGGTTTTTTTTTTTTTAAATTACAAAGTAATAAAAAGTTTTGCTCTTTAATTAAAAAAAAGAGAGAGACAGTAAGAGGGGTAAATAAATTAGGAAAAAAACAGGGAGGAAAAATGAAGTGTTAAATAGAAAGGGTAAAAACAAACAAAACAAAGACTAACCCCACCCTCCCCGCCCTGCCAACAACCCATCGGCTCCACACTACAGTGACAGTGTGTCTGCTACAGGCCATAGGTCGCAGTGGTGATCATTGTGTTTCAAAGCCCCAAGTGCCACAGAGCAGCTTGAGTATTCCTAAATTATATTTAAAAACAACTAAAGGGGGGGGGAAAGGGGGGGTGACAGATGGGAGAGGGCAGGAAGGGATTGTGCATGTATTGGTGGATCTTACTTGGGGTTGCATGAGGGAAGGAGAGAGCAAGAGCCATCGCTCTGATAGAACTCCAAACTCCCATTTCTGTGCGCCCCTCTCTTCTCCTCAAGTCCCACACTCTCTCCGCAGGAATCAAAACAAGTTTTAATTAAAAAATAAAAATAGAAAAACACGCACAGCCAGACGAAAAAAGATCCCGCTGCAGGGATGAGAAGTATATTTCTCCCTGTATTCCAGCTCCAACGATCCCATCCTCCATGGCACCAGGTGCCTCTCCATAGATCCATCCGTGTGTGAGGACTGCTCGATTCAGGGAAGGCTGGCACTTCTCCCAACATCCAAGAAAGAAACCGCAGAGAAGCCACCCAAAGAAAGGAAGCCCGAGTCAATGATTAGGCTGTTGCCACAATTCCCCTCACAGCTTAAAATTCGTTTAATGCTCAAGAAAATAAATTCTGTTATAATAATAAAAATCAGACTTCTACCATCAAGTGTGGCTGGAATCTGATTCGCTCCTGGCCCACAAGGCTCCTGAAAAGAACAAAACCAAAAAAAAAAAACCAAACAAAAAACTCACCCCCCACCCCGCACCATCCCTTGCCCTCAGATAAAAAGGAGAGCAAAGTTAAAATTTATATGGCTAGAAACCATATGATTTCAAAATAATATTTAACAACAAAAAAAAAAAGAGCAGGGGAAGATATCCAAGAAGAAAAAAAAAAATAGAGAAATCAAAACCAGGAGCAGAGAGTCAGGAGAAGGAACTGGGGGTAGCCCGTGGGGGCAGCGGTCAGGGCTGGGGGGGCAGCGGAGGTGTTCCCGCACAGCTCCCGCGTTGTCAGCTCCTCAGAGGCATCGCGCTGGGGGACGCAGATGGCCCTCTCGGAAACGGCTCATACCAGCGCGGGGGCACAGCTCGACTCCTCATCGTTGGCAAAAAGAAATTCTGTTGGGTTTTTTTGTTTGGTGTTTTCTTTTTTTGTCTTTTTTTTTTTTTTTTTTAGTTTTTATTTGTTTTTTGGGTTTTTTGTTTTTTAAAAGAAAAATACAGTGAAGACACTAGAAAGAGAATTCAAAAGAGAGAAGAGACATTAGGAGAAAAGATTCTTCCCAGCGCTTCCAATGCCAGCTGGAGCATAACAAATCACATCAGCCCTTTCTTCTACACTCCTGCCTCCCCTTGGAGTTACCTTGCCCAGCTACCGTCATTTCCTCTACAAGAGGCACTCACTAGCTGTGTAAAGTCTCACACACTTGATTACATGCTCAGCACCCTCCTCCCCAACACTGTCACACTGCCAGAAAAGCATTCATGAGGAACTAACAAATGGCTCCCCAGCCCAGCACCTTATCCACCCTCCCTACCCTCCTGGAGAAATGGAAGCTACCTTCACACTTAAAGACAATCCATCCCCTCAAGGTTTTGGCAGCCAACCTTACTCTTCCCTCTGAGGCCAAAAACATCTCAAAGTAAGATGAAAGGAAAAGAAATGTACCAATCCCCCACAACATCAGCAAAGTCTTAACTTAAGGCTTTTTTTTCCCAGCAATTCCACCCTTGGGGGTTCCCAGGCATGAGGACAGGCTCACCTAAGCAAACACTGGTCCAGTGGCAATTGCTCCTCACTTCCCAAGGTGATCGAATGGCACACTTGTCTACAAAAGAAAAAGAGTTGCTAAGGGTTGGAGAGGAAAAAGAAGACACCAAAACAGAGAGGCTGCACGTTTCTTTCAGGACATCCTCCCTCCCAAGAGTTTACTATTCCACTTCTCCAAACCACTGTGGTCTGGAAGAGAACCAGACAAAGTCTTACTCCAAGCAAAGCAGAGCTAAGATGACAGTACTGAGCATGGCCTCCAAAAAATATGTAACTGAAGAGTGAAGGTGTGACTTGGTACCACTCCCCTCACCACACTAGAAGCTTCAGGCTCATGTCAGCTCCAACAGATCAGCTAAAAACTACTCTAGGGCCCATAGTACTTCTGGAACATCCAGTCCAAGGCCATGAACATGGCAGCAGGGACTCACCTGTGATGCTGAAATCCGTGACACTTCTTGCCGCCCTGTGAGGTCAGATGAGGAGACGTTGGCAGGAGCTCCTCGGTGTAACCTCATGCTGACCTTCCGCTCCCTGTCCACTCTTGAGATTGCTCTGGGGGACGTGTTGCCTGTCGGGGCAGAGAACCATCGAGGCAAGAATATCAGCCAATGATTTTGGTTTCTAGCCAACAGCAGGGCTGGAACCCTCCCCAAGGTCTCCCATCCCACTCACCGGACTGCTGGATTCTGGAGGTGGGGGTGGAGGCCATGGGCTCAGTGACATTGCGAAGACGGTTGGCAGTGGCTCCAGCAGGCGGGCCAGGGGGCAGTGCTCGTGTGGCTGACCCTCGGAGTTGCCCCATCCTCTCCTCTCGTTCATGCTCTCGCCGCTCCCGATCCATATCCTCAGGGTTCCGGGCTGCTCCCTGAGGAGAGAAACCCCCACACCGCACATGGCTGTCAGGCAGGAGAGACAGCAGCAGCCCCGGACAGAAAACACATGGCACTCTATCGTGCCAAGGAAGTGGAGCTCCATCCCCAAAACATGGTCTCCCCCCACTATCTTCCACTGCATCAAGAGAGGACCTCATTCTGTTCCATGAAGAAACAGGGAAGAAAGCATATGGTACTACAGCTGTTACTGGAATCCACTCTGTCCCACCTCCAACTATAGTCTTCTCCTGAAAAATTATCTCTACCTACCTATAGCTACAGATCAGACATACTCACTAATACAACAGTAGCTATACCCCCAGCTTACACCAAGTAACTCTGCCTCTCTTCACTCTACCCGTCCCCTTTGTCAAGTTGTTCACCAGGGCTAAGTACAAACAGCAGGCAGTTTCCAACTTTCCTTCCCCTCCCCATGATAAAAACCAACTCCTGTCCAGCCCTTTTGCCACACACACACTCACAAATTTAAGCATGTTCCAGTCAAAGACGTAGTCGTAGGAGAAGCCTTGGCGGTGGAAGAGGTTGCGGAAGAGTTGCCGCAGGTACGAGTAGTCAGGTTTATCATCAAACCTCAGCGAACGGCAGAAGTTGAGGTATGTTGAGAACTCAGCTAGAGAGAGCAGAGAACAGTTGGCTGTTGAACACCATCCAACCTCCCACGCCCCGCCATGGAGCCACTGTAGCATTTCAGCAGTGGCTTGCTGGACCAGGACAGCACAAACACAGAGCTGTATAACAAAAACTGAGCCTGATGGTTTGATTGCAGTGCTTTGGCCACTACGAAAACCCAATCCCTATTTTTACCATGGAAAATGCTCACGCATCTCTCTTTGTCGGCTTCTCCAAGCAAAGACTTAGCAAGTCCTGTGGAGCCTGCTGAAGGACAGTAAGAATGCAGGCCTAAGGAAGAGGTGGAGGTGAGCTTTGGGAATTTCAGCTCAAACCAGAAGTCCTCCTAGTTCAGCAGTCTATCTTAAGCAGTAGCCAGAAGTAGACAACTACAGAGGAGAAAGCGTGGGGCAAGCATGTCTGACACTTCTATTGACATTAGCCCAGCTCCCACCTACTTTCAGCTCCAGGAACTTCCTGATCTGGATGTGGTTTCTGACTATTTAGTAACCCTCCATGAATAATCTCTCTTCCATGTACTTGTCCCATCTCTCCTTGAACTCCTGTAAGCTTTAAGTACCCACAACAACTTCTGGGAATGAGTTCCACTACTACTATTACAGTCTACTACTGGCTGTGTGAAGAACTGCATCATTTTGTTTTGAAGCCAGCAGAAACCAGCTTTGTTTCTCTTCCAATACAAAAACTGGGGCCACCAAATAATTGTCTCCCACCTAGACTTCTGCAGGCATAGTGAGTGCATAGACTTCTATCATCTCTCTAATCACCTCTTTTCCAGGTTCCAGCAAACTTGTTACTTGTGCAGAAATCACCTCACCCTGGTTACCCTTTTGGCCCTTTCCTGGCCCTTTCCTGGACCTGTTTCCAGTTCTACCACATCTGGGATGGACCAGAGCTACACAGTGCATGCAAAGTGCAAATAGGCCATAGGCTTATGCACACTGTTTGCACAAAATTGCTGTGCACAAAATTTCTGTTTTCACAGAATCACCTATTGTAATTGCAACAGCTCACTGATGAGTGGCACTGGTCAGTTGGAGTCTACTATTGTGCAAATGACGTGAGGACCAAGACTTCTCTCTGTTCTCACATACATTACCCATGTTTACCTACAAAGAATTCCAATTGCCACTTCATTGCCTGGCTATTTCTGGGACTCTTCATTAACCAGTAAAAACTCAGAACCACCAGCATACCTCCTCAGCTCACTGTCCATCCTGCTTCCAAACTGCTACTGAGGTCCTAAAGATCCCTCTCAGCACTCTCACGCCCTTACTAACATAAGGTTTCACCCTCTACAAAAACACATTTCCCACTTCTGAACCAGAACAGTACCACCTGTTATCCTTCTCATCACTGGTGTCAGCAGCACATCCTGGTCTGGGGTACTGGGCACTGCCCTTCAGGATTCAAGATTCCATGGGGTTTCAGCAGGTGAACAAGCCAAGCAGCAGACAAGACAGCCATCAAGATGAGAGCACTTACAAGGGTACCCTTTGCAGAGCACCTCGATGGGCGTTGACATCTTTTTCTCGCTGATCCTCTCATACTTTTGGCGCTTGGTGGCAGCCTTGAGGCCCTGCCAGGGCAGTGAGCCCAGGTTGAAATACATGAGCACATAACCCAGGCTCTCCAGGTCATCACGGCGACTTTGTTCTGTGAGAAGTTACAAAGGGGCAAGGAGTGAGCAGCAATCAAAAGGACTCTGGCAATCACATAGCTTTGGTGCTAAACACAGAACAAAACAATCACTCCTCTCTCTTCTTTGGTAGATTTCTATGGATAGACAAACTTGTAGAAGACATTCCAGTGCAAATTCCTGTGAGGACGGTCATATTACAAGAGTTAAAGTGCTCCTCTCCCCATATGGCCCCACCCACTTCATAACTAATGACTCTGACTACCTCCTCACTCGGACAAGCCTTAATTCACACAAGAATTTAACAGCTCAAGAAGTGCTGCAGCAACACTGCCTACTTTGCTCTTCCCAGTCCCAGAGGAAGGGCACCTACACTTCTCCACCCAGAATGATTCTTCAACCCAGGGATTAGTCATGACAGAGGTAGTCACAGAAAGACAAGTCTAACAGAGGTAAGCCCAACACAACCCTTTCAAACACATCTTCTAATTAAACTGCTGATACTCTTTAGGCAGGGCAGAAACAAGGAACTAGGGACCCCTTCTAGTAGTAAACAACTTTGTTAATTGTTTAGAGCAGTCTAACATGTAATACTGTGCAAAGACGTCTTTCCAGCTTGGTGGCATTTTTCAAGCTGTGGAGGAAAGGGGTATACTTTGAACAAAAGGTTCCCCTCCAAATAGGGAATGACTGTGTAAATGGCAGCATTACCAACTCTACTAAGAGCAAGGGTTGCCCTTAATATGCTATTGCAAGGGCTCACTTTTAGATGCTTACTTATGGAACAAAAAAAATTGCCTCACAAAAAAAACCCCCTTTCACATTGAACTTGTTCTCTGGAATGGCCAAGCCATTTTAAGTTTCAAGCTAGCTCAAGATGGATTTGATGCAGAATCTCAACAACTGCAAATGTTGACTGGTTAACTTGTGAAACTCCTCCCAGCTCCTCCAACACGCTTGCAAATTCATCTGTAAATCTTGCCAAGAAGCTCTTGCCCTTGTTTTCCTCCCAAATAAAATAAACACTTTGGAGAAAGTACTTTACATCTCGAGTAGAACAACCACTGACACAGATAACAGGCAGGCAAAATACGGCTTGAGGGAGAGCACAGGGATAGAGGAAGGACTAAAGAGAATTACCTATTAGATTAATTCACTACTACAGCACATTTTGCTGGATTCGGTGCTACATCCTGGAAAATGCTGCAGATTATATGTTGGTCTGTGGGTTAACTGTCAGTATCAGTTACATGCTACTACCACCTGCTCCATTCAAAGGCCAGTAGATCATTACAGCTACCCCTTATTCTGTTAGCTGAGCTAAACCCTGACAAAAGAGTAGCTTGTAGCAGGTCACAGATACAGATGTCCAGCTCCTGAGATTCAACATGGTTCCTTCTTCTTTCTGCATCTCTCTCATGATCTCCTAGTGGTTTTGAGAACTGGAGGCTTGGCAAGTTAAAACTACTGAGAGGGAAAAAAAAAAAAGGAAACAAAGGGGCTGCAGAAGAAAAGGGTCTTATTCCTTCATAACTGAGAGGAGAGAGCTTTTGGGGCAAAGCACATGAAACACCATAAAAAACCCCACATTCCAAGACAGGATTAGAGGAGAAAGCAGCCCTGCAGATGCCCAAAATGTCTTACTTTGAGCATGCAGAAATAACAGCATTTTTTGACCTCACTAACGTACTGCCTCAAGTTGCCCACTTTAAAGGGGCTAATACGTCCTTATCTTATCAGGCTACTGCCAAGGATAATTACATGATTGTCTGGGAGATGCATAGATGCTATGGAGGGAGCAGAGAAAAGAAACTGAGTTTGCATTTGGCCTCGGGTTGGGGTATGTGTACTCTCAGAGGGCTGCAATTACTCATCATGTATATCAAATAAACAAAACCGAACAATATTTGGTAATGACCTACATCCTTAGACAGGAGGCATGTGGAGTCAGAAGGCACACCCAGGGCCTGAAAGTACAGGAGACAAGGGTAATCTCAGTCCTGCAATCTGGCAGCCCTTGATTTATCCATGCTGTAGCTTTAAAGCATCTAACTGCGGGTTCTTGTCTAGAGTGTGGTAGTGCTCTAGACAAGAGGAGTAAGGAAAGGCAGGGCAGGAACCAGAGAAACCTACTGAACAAGCAAATCAGCCTTTCAGGAATAAATCAGGATCTTGCCTCCAAAATCTTGCTTGAACTCCAAACTGCTTAGGGCAGGCTGGATAACACACCTCTACTTGTGTGAAGCACAGCAGCTTTAAGCACAGTCACCAACCCTATCCAGAACAGGATACGTTCTGTGAACACATGCCTGGGCACAGTCTTAGCGATTTGGGGAAGGCCTGAATTAAAGACTGGAGATTAGGGAGCCTGAAGTCATTGGGAGATGCTACAAGGCCTTAGTGAAGGTGATGAGAGGGGTTACAAAACCAAACTGGGAAGCTAACTAGTATCCATTACACGCACGCAAACACACCTTAACTGTGCCTTAACACAGCAACATGATCAAGGAAAAACAACTGCAAGCAAAGCACCTAATTATTAAAATTCTGAATGAATAAGTGTTTGACTGCATTGCGGCCCCAATGTTTAGTACCTCATGTACTGTGGCAATTGTAGCCCACTTAAACAATTTCACTGAGATTCAAATCTATGATTGGCCTGAAGTACCAACAGGATGGGTCACAGATGTGCAGCTACCTCAAAACATTGTAGCAGTCTTTCATCTGTAACCCTAACTACAAGATCCTGATTTAAATCTTGGATGATTGTAAAGGACAACAGTTCCTACATCCTGTTTCTTTGTTTCATCTTCAGTTACTATTATACAGCTCCCAAGTTTAATTATTTCTTTTCCCTGGCCTCATATAACAACATTCCCAGGATACTAGATAACATTAGATAGCAAAGAGTTAGAAATAAAACTTTACCTCAACGCACCAAAGAAACATTATTTAGTATCGCTACTTTCCACCTTTAGAAGTCTGACAATCAGCGACTAACAGTCACACCATCCCTGGGATGCAGGAAGAAAAAAATCTCACTTTGCAGTTTGAAAAGAGAAAGAGAAATACAAGTAACGTGAACGCATGCTCAGAGCAAGTTAGTCCAGAAGCTGGATTACAGTCATGACCTGTGATACTTCCTCTCTCCATTTTATTTCAGCTTCTCAGTTTTCCTACAACGGGGGGGGGGGAAGGTTTGAAAGACAATTTTATGAAAATGTATTTTTCATAAGACACTGATCCTTTCCTCCCTCCCAAAACCTCTTCCAATAGAAACACAAGGTCATCTTCCCACACAACCCAGCACAACCCCTCAAACCCAACCTCTCACTCTGCAAGCAATCTCCTGCCAGTTCCCTCCTCCCACTCCCAGTGAGGATCCGAGCCAGCCCACACCCTCACTCCCTTCACAAAGCAGGGTCCTCAAAAGCCAAGTCAGGGGTGAGTAGCAGGACAGGAAAAGACATGCTTGGGCAAAGACGGAAGACTGAGGACTGGTTGTCTTGGACACAAAGTTCCTGACAAAACATGTTTCTTTGCAACCTAAACTGCCTTCTGGTCCCTCTGTCAGGAGAGTATTTCCCTCCACTCCGATTCTGTTCAAAGTGATGCTGCTCCCATGCAGGACTCCCTAGAAATTAGCTGTCTTTCCCGGAGCCAGCCCAGCTCTGCAAGCAGGCTTAACCAAGCAATGTTTTTCTCACTATATACTCAGATCTGATCTTGCACAAGTCACACTACAGTTCCCCTTTCTCTCTCCACTGCATGGCAACAGCCTTTAAAAACACACACAGAGATCTGGAATGGGTGACAGAGGGCAGGATGAGCAGGAGGACTTTATGATCTGCACAGCCTACACTGATGCCATCTAGGACACGCACTCGGGAAGGCACTGTCCCCCGCCTCCCACCTCCTGTTACCCAGACAGAGCCCACCAGGCTTCTGCCAAGACTGTCTCCTGGGCACCCGGGCATCTATTTCAGACTTTACAAGCTACAGTGGGTGCAGGGGACTCTCATTCCTAGAGCATGTGAAAATTGACTGGAATGTGTGAACCAAAGCCTGCACAGTCCAGTGACTCCCCCAACGGCAAGTCTCCAGCTGTGGAAACCCTCCCCAATCTCGCCTCCTACTTTTTTCCCCAGTCACTGGGAAAAGAATGTGTTTCCTCCAGACATTGGAATGTCCAACCCTTAGCTTGCACATTCAAATAAAGGCATTTATTCATTTGCTATTCCCGTCACATGAATACCCCAGCACCTGGTTCCTTCCCTCTCCCTAGAGCGCATTAATGTAACATTAAGACAGAGAGTTTAGTCTCTGAAAAGTCAAAAAATTCAGAGTCACGGTTCCCATGGCAATGCTGCTAACTCACAAATGTGTCTGTCATATACCCTGTGGTAAGGTCTTGAGAAACAGGAACTCCAGCTGAAACCTCAGCACCTCCATCCCCTTTCCTCCAGGCAAGTCATGTAACCTTTATGCTGTTCAGGGGAACTATCTGCAACGTGGAGATAATACATCTGAGACCTGTTGTGCCAAGTAACTCACACCCAGACTTTCCCGAAGCAAAGGGCATGAAGAGAGCAGTGGCTGTGCTCAGACTAATGGCATATGCATTTTGCCCTAGGATTACTGTTTAGACATTGTTTGTTCATCCTGACACACAAGCCAAGCACCAGTAGCAAAGGGCTAAGTTGGGGTGGGATGAATAATGAAGTCATTTGAAAACCACAACCAGACATTTAGCCTCTCGTGATCAGTTCAGGCAGAGCAGGCACATACATAAGAATCGACAGACATAGTAGTGATAATTATTTTGTGCATGTCTCCTTGTGGCAGTTTCCATGGCTGTGGAAATCTTGACTGAGAATTCAATGGAGAGTCAGTTATATATATGCAGGTCAAGCCAAAATACAGAAGGCCAACTTGGAAAGCTCTACAAGAAGTATTTTTACAGTGTGGAGGAGGTCAGGAGATCACAGCCCACTCTCAACACACAACACTCCCCATTTTTATATAAATAAAGCATTTTCCATCTATAGCTATACAGTATTAAGCAAAGAAGACAGTGGGAAACCACTTTATTTTCTGCAGGTCAAGTATTGACTCCAGATATCTGAGAAATATCTGCAAGAGGGGAGAGTGCAGGAAAAATGAGGTCATGGAAGCCTGTGGAAGCTGCTAGTTTAAAAGGTTTTAGTTCCTTGCTCTGACTTTCAAATTCTCAGGTTATACATTTCAGAAGAAGGTCTCCCAGAGACACAAACTGAGCTGCAAAGACAGTAGCTATTTTCCTGGGTCCACAGGCAAGACAGCTTCAGTGTTTCTGCTCCTCAGATTTGCCAGTTAATAGCAGGACCAAGTCAGCCTGCTCAGATCAGACCGTATGGTAACTAAGGAAGCCTCATACTGAGAACAAAGTTTAGCAAAAATTTAGCAGAGGAAGGAGGTCAAACACTGGAAAGAAGCTTTTGGTCAGAGAACAGAAGAGAAAACTGCAACAGGTTTTCAACTATGTTCCTCACAGCCACCAGGGGCTGATTCCCAGGACAAGAATGTGGGTGACTTCAGGAGGTTTGAGCACGGTGGGCACTAACCTGGTCAAGGTTTTTACAAAACCTGGGATGATGGTCAGCACCAGTGTAAGACCTGGCTGAGCTCTCAGCATGCTTTCCCAGCCTAGTTTCATTCCCACGGTATTAACCATAGACACTGAGGGCAGAGCCCTACCTCCCTAAAGCTGCCTCAGTGGTGAACAGGGTAGTGTGGTTCACAGACACACAGGTATTTTGAAGAACCATGATAGCCAGTTCTCAATCACAAAACCTGGATGTCCAGCCAGCTGGAAGCCTTCCCTCATTCCAGCTTCCTGCACACTTCCAGCACATGGCTGGCCCCACCTTCAGTGGTGGACCATATTGCAGCGGGCCTGTATCCTCCAGCTCTGACAGCTACAGAATAATCATTGATGAAGGCGCTTGGGAGTCAACAAGAAAGGTTTCAACTGCACACATTCCTAAAGGCTCAGTGCCTGTGAATGTCTCCTTTACACATCTAATCAGCCTGCAAAAATTGTGCAAGGCAGATTCAGTAGCCGCAGAGTCACAGAGGTCACAGCCTTGACGCTCAACAGGGCCCCACTGCATTAAGTGGTGAGTGCACAAACACATAGTGGTAAGACAATTTCTGTCTTCAGAAGCTCGAAGTGCCACCAAAGGCAGGAGAGGTAACACAGGTGTAGCATTTATGTTACTTGCCCACCATCTCAAGGCAGGTCAGTAGCGGAATCAGGCACAGAACCCAACTCCCTCCTTCTGGGGACACACCACCTCCCCTAGAAAGCCCCACCAAGGGGAAACAGCAGGCTCACCAATTCCCAAGTGGGTGTTGATAGAGGCATAACGGGCTGTGCCAGTCAGATTCTTGTTTTCCCGGTAAGGGATGTGCTGGTGGGTCCGGGCATCTCGGTACTTCTTGGCCAAACCAAAATCAATGATGTATACTAGGTTGCCTTTTTTGCCGAGGCCCATAAGGAAGTTGTCTGGCTTTACATCCCGATGGATGAAGTTCTTGGAATGAATGTACTCAATACGGCTGATCTGGAGTGGGGGATAAATAAATAAATAGTGAGACAAGCAAGAAAAAAACCTACCTTAACTGCATCTGCTAAAAACAGTACCCTGTCCAGGATACTGACCTGTCAGAGTAGGGAAAAGGACATTTCACAGAGAATATCAGAGATGACAGCCAAGGAAAAGACACCCTTTGGAGGCTGCAGGATCTGTACATCGAATTCAACCCTGCACACCAGCCCAGTCCTCACTCTGGGGAGGTCATCATTAACACCACAAGGAAGGGTGGGAAGCAAATCTGTATGGACTAAAACTTTGAGCTTCAGCATTGACAGCTGTCAGCTTTCAAACTTAGCCAGGCTGGGAAAGTAGGGGGTCCATCCACAAGAGCTAAGGGTCTTAAATACAGGGCATGGGCAGTTGAATTGAGATAGGTAATGATGCCAATCATTCATCATGCAGGCAAAAGTATCTATGTGTGCAACACTAACGCAGGGTGAGCAGCAGGGGAAGGAAAGAGAGATGGAGATCAGGAAAAGTCATCAGTGTCTAGGTTCCAGGCCCCCAACTTCCTCAAGAAATAGAAAGCTGGCAGCCACTTGTCACTAAATGAAGAAAGCTTGGGATATAGCAGTTCTTAAGCAGAGGAGATGGGAGGGAAAAAAAAAAAAGGCATGGAAAAGGAGAGTAGGCACAAATGCTTCAGAGGAAACTCACCATCTGGTCTGCCAGGAGCAGAACTGTCTTGAGACTAAATTTGCGGGAACAGAAGTTGAAGAGATCTTCCAGGCTGGGCCCCAAGAGCTCCATCACCATCACATTATAGTCCCCCTCTGCTCCACACCACTTAATGGAGGGGATACCCACTGGGGAAAGAGAAAGATTAAGCCCTCAGAACAGAGACTAGATGCTGCATCCCCTGCTGAGAAGATCATATGTAACACCAAATCATTTCTTTCCTAAGGCCCTCCAGAATAATTTCCTTCTTCAACCACTCCCCCGGCCCCATCTTCTCCTCCCCATCTCACCTCCTCCCTGCATCATCTTGTAGAACTTGCTTTCAATGTGGAGCTGGGGATGCTTGGTTTTGACACATTCCAGTTTGATGGCCACCTCTTCACCAGTTGCAATATTGGCTCCTGCATAGAAATGAGAAGTGAAATGAAGATTGCGCAAGCTTCCACTGATGTTAAACACTTTTAACAAGGCCTGTAAAAATGCCAAAACCTTAAGATTTGCCCTGAAATTTATTCTCTGTGACAGAAATGAGATCCGGCCACTTCATAGAGAGTTTCCAGCGCTGCCATTTGCAAACGCAAGGCCAGAGAAAGGCATGTGAATAGGAAACCAGGTCTGACCCTGCAACTCAGGCTAGAACAACAATTTTGCAACATGCTAACTGCTTTGTTATCTCAAAAAGTACCAGACTTTGGGAGCTCAATCTGTATGTATCAACAGTACCTAAGCTAAGTGGAAGTTGTAGCTGCCTCTGATCATATCCTCAGACCCTGAATGCAAGTCCCCCCCAGGCAGTGATACAGAGTATCTCTTCCCTAGCAAAATTACTAGTTACCTCAGTTACATAATTTCAACAGAGCCAATTAGTTCAGGAGGAGACATTACTAACATTCCTAGCTATCTGTTTTCTCCACAGCCTTGACCTGCTCAATACAGACAATTTCTAAGTCCCCAGCTTCTCCCTCTCCTGAGGGCTTCAATAATACCTTTATCTTTTGCCAACACAGAAACATTTGCTGTATCCTAAATTAGAAGCGTGAAGAAATAAACTGAATCCAGTCCTGAATTAAGCTGCCCAGACACCTCTGTTGAAGGGATTGCTAGATACTTTGTGACGACACTGAGTATCCACACACTTCTCTCTAAAAACAACCGAGCTGCCAGCTGTGAAAGCCAGCACTCTGGTCCCAAAGTGCACTGTCAAAGAAGGAACAGGCTGCTCTCTCTCTCGTAATAGCTGAAAGGATTCCAGATGTTTCACATCATCCTAGAATGGAAAGAATGAGTATCTGTACACAGGTCACGGGAATGACACTCAAGTTTTGCTTCTCTCCCCCTCCCGCCATGCCGGCCTCACACACACACACAGACAAGCCCTTCCTCGTATCTGGAACTATTAGAAGTTGCACTCAAACACAAATCAGAGAGCTGCTCTGATCATGAGCAACTTGTGAACACCGTCATAAAATAAACTACTCCAGAACACGCATACCATACATGAGCTGGAGTCAAAGGTGACGTTTTGTAGATATCCCATAGCTAGTTTTAGTAGGTCTGGCTAATTTAGTAGGTCTGCCTCCTGAACCCTGTGATAAGACTTTAAGAGTCCACAAGGACAGCTGCTGATAAATCTCTCCATTTATCCTCTTTCCCACACCTCCTCCAGAGTCAGGGACCAAAAGAAAAAAAAGGAATTGTTCACACAACTGGATCCCTTCTCCCCCTGGATCCTAAGGATCTCCTGTTGAAGAGTTCTGGCTTGTACACAAATTTAGCCAAGAGCTGCCTGCTAGCAAAAAGACATAATCTAGATGCTACAGCGCCGGGTCGAGACAGACAAGCTGCTAGGAATTTGTAAGAGAGCAACAAAACTGTTGGGGGCCTAGAGGGATTGATTTACTAAGAAAGATTAAAAGAGCTAAATATGTAACATAGACAAGAGATACAACCAAGAAGGGTGGGGAGGAAGAATGGGACATGACAACAGTCTGCAAATATTTGAAGGCTGTAAACACTAAGGAGGGAGAGGAATTATTTAGGGTGCTCTAAGGGAGGGGAAGTAGGAGCAATGGGATTAATTTAATAAGGATTTTAACACAGGATCCAGCAGAAGAGAAAGGCAAAAAGCCATCCTCAGAGGTAGAGCCAATGGTTACTTTTGAAAAGATGCTGCCATTTTCCACTTAAAAACTCCTGGCCAGAAAAACAAGTCTGTACATTTCCTTCACTGCACCACAAGACCCTTCTTATAAGCATCAGGAGTGCAAGGAGGAAAAAAGCAGGAAAAGGGACTAGTATCTGTCTTTTAAATTAGTGTTCAACCACTGGCCTTCAGTCAGCATGGAAACACCCAGGACACCCAAAAAAGGTAAGAGTGCTTCCTTCTCTCATTCCTTTCTCTTTTCCCTGCTTTTGTGAAGACTTTCCTCCAAATCCTCTGAAGCAGCTCCCTTGTCCATTTCCCAGGGGAAATTTTTCCCTCTCCTAATCCATTTGCTGGCACACAAATATTGGTGAGTCTTTCTGACTTTTGGCAGCGTTACCATTTTGAATAAATGCTACCCCAGAAGTTGAACAGTGGAAACATGAATGAGTTCTCATTTCCACATTACCATGGGTGTTTAGAAAGATGATGATGCATCCATCTACTAGGCTGTCTGCAGGTGGGGAGTGTTATCTGTGGGCACATAAAGCTCAAAAAGGGAAAGCAGGGGTAGGCATCAAGAAGACTTAGATTCTTCAAAATGTGAACATGCCACTCATATGTGCTCAGATGGCCCTCAGCCCCACGCTCTCCATAGCCCTAACACACGTGTTAGTCTCTTAAAAAAACTTAAAAAAAAAAAAAAAGAGGAGAACAACCCTGTGGCCTAGAAAAGCAAAGGTGGAATCATAGGCTGGTTTGGGTTGGAAGGGACCTTAAAGGTCATTTAGTTCCAACTCTCCTGCCATAAGCAGGGACACTTTTCATTAGACCAGACTGCTCAGAGCCCCATCCAAACTGGCATTGAACACTTCCAGGGAAGGGGCATCTACAACTTCTCTGACAACCTGTTCCAGTGCAACACCACCCTCACAGTAAAGAATTTCTTCCTGGTATCTAATCTAAACCTGCTCTCTTTCAGTTTAAACCCATTCCCCCTTGTCACTAAATGGTCTTGCAAAAAGTCTCTCCTCATCTTTCTTGTAGGCTCCCTTCAGGTACTGGAAGGACAAAATTAGGTTACCTTGAAGCCTTCTCTTCTCAGGCTGAACAATCCAAATTCTCTCAGCCTTTCCTCATAGGAGACATGCTCCATCCTTCTAACCATTTTCATGGTCCTTCTCTGGACCAATCAGACCTACTGAGGAGCTATTCTTTGAACACTTTAGGCTTGCTCCATCCCCAAACCCCGCTGTGTCTACAGGTTGCTCCTTCTACCATTTCTTTGCTAGAGATCCACCCAGATCGAGACCACCACAAGTGAGGAGGGAATTCAAGGGCAGGAATCTCTCTGGTCCTTTGTTCCATGCTTTAACCACCATCTTTCTTAAAGATACAAGTACAAAAGCAACAGTTCTCTGCTCTCTTTCTAGACTGGAAAGCACCGTGTTTCAGACAAATGCAGCAGAGTCTGCAAGCTTCAGCCACTTGAGAGACGTATGTAGGATTGGGGATAATTCCTAACATCCACCCCCAGTCTCGCTCCGCTGTGGGGGCTGCACAAATTCAACTCATTCATCATGAGCTCTTTGAAACGGGGCCCCGGGGACAGAGGATGTCACCGGCTGAACAGGATCTTTTCAGAGTGGAAGCCTGACTGCATGTTTGATACAATAAACACCACCCTCCCTGCGCACAGTGGCAACAAGCCGGGGCCCCCACTCTCCCCACCACACGCCCCCCTCTTGACAGCCTGTGGAGGGAAGAATGGAGGGCTGGGAACAGATGGAAGAAGGTAGATAGGGCGAGAGAGAGTTAACAGGCCAGGAAACAAAGGGAAGGCACTCCCCTCCCAGCAAGGGAGGAGCCTGCCACCAGGAACTGTCCCCAGCCAGTGCAGGTCCCAGCATGCTTTGTCTGCCCAGCTCCTCTTCACCACCAGTGTGCATCCCGGCCAGACGATTCCTACCAGGTCCAGCTACCCTGCCCTGCCTCTTGGCCAACACCTCTGACAAAGCACCTCCCTCCGACAGCCTAAAAGTCTTGGCAATTCCTCTGCAAACTGATTTTGCTGTTCTGAATGAGCAATTTTAGAGGTAAATGGGTTAGCCAAGACCCCTCGGCAGCATGATCTCATTTCCCACCCTCCCAAATCAATGTAGGGAGAATATCTCCACAGCACATCTATCCCCCAAAGTACGCATGGAAGGAAGGCATTGTGCTTTAAGCCTCAGCTGAGCATTAACACAGTCCATCCTTTGTGTCTACCCATGTAGAAATCCAAGTTTCCTTCTGATACAAAAAAACCAAAAACAAATCCCGAAGAGCACAGCACGCAGCACCCACTAGTTACAGAGCAAGTGAAGGTAGTAACATCCTGAAAGAGAGAAGCTGAGGATAAACCATACAGCCCCTGCTCATCCCCAGAGATAAACAAGGCTTGTCTGTCCTTGCTCTGTCTCCACACCATTATCAAGAGAGAGAACTGCGAGGGGAATTTTTCGCAGGAGAGAAGTCCTCGTGAATGAGTCCTTCTGTCTGCAGAGCAGGCCGTGAGAGTACAGCATGAGCACAAGCGTTCTCCAGACGCACCATCAGAGACTACATGCCCGATCCCTCCAGGCTGGGGAGTCACCCAGGCTCCAAGAAGTCTCGCTATCACTGCTTCAAAACATGCTGGCTTGCACCTCAATGAACATCATTGGCTTTGATAGTGCATTCAAGTAACTTGGTTGAATCCCTCTGTGCTCACCACACCAGGGCACTGGGGCTTCCTCTGCCTCTCATGTTGTTTGGTTACAGGCAAGGCGGGCACAATCCCCTCACCAGAGCCTGTTTTCTACGCCTGCTCTGCACAGGTGGATGACCTGTTACGTGGTGCAGAGGAACACAGGATCAGGCCTTTCCACTCAGTACCTCTTTTCTTACCCCATGTGTACCCTCAGATGTTTTGCAAGATCCTGGCAATTTATGCTGTCCTATAGAGGGTCTGGAAGGCTTCAAGCACTACCACAGGTGGAAAATGCTGTGTCTGGGCTATCAGACACTAACTGGCTGGAGGGTCACAGAGGAGTGGCATACAGGAGTAGGCAGCAGTAAGGCAGCACATAGTGGAATTGGGATCCCAGATCCATTATTTATCATCTTTGTTCATGCTCTGGATAAAGGTGGCAACAAAGCCTGTTACTGATGATTCCCACAGGACACTTAATCAAGAGAGCCTGCCAACACCAATCAAGAGAGAATAATAAAGCAAGAGGGAACTGGAGGTAAAAGCCAGAGGTTGAAAACAGACAGTGATTTACAAGCACAGGAAAAAGTAATCTGAACTACAGGTATTCAACAAAAGGGACTCAGGGAGGGATGGGAAGATGTTGGAGATCCTAGAAGACGTCTTCTACAATATAGCTGACAGTGTGCTAAGGCCAATTCTGCAACCTGATAGTGTTAGTGATGGGGGAAGCCAAGGAGACCCAAAGAAGCCTATGCAGAGGCATCACATTACAGATAACTCGAGGGTAGTCCTTCATTGCCAGGCACTGGAAATGCCACACATCAAATGCAGTGTTGGCTCCAAGCTGCCCAGCAGATGGACAAACTAGGAAAAACTGAAGGAGCAGCAAAAGTGAGGAGTGGTGGATGTACTGGGAAGCAAAACACAACTCAACCAAGCAAATTAACAGTCAAGGAGCACATGACACACCCATAAGTCCCCAAAGTTTGCAGACACCAAGGGAGAGGGCAGTTGTTCTGCTGGCCTGTAGGACTACAACTAAAAAGGTAGTAAGGAGAACCAGATGACAGGTAAAACCACACCAACTCTCATGGAGGGATCAATCAGGCTACTGGGTAGTCTTGCCACCCTGGCCCCACATGGTCTGAGCCAATAAAAACATGAGCAGGCAAAGCATTAGCACACATCAGCACACTGGCTTGGAAGAACTTCTACCCAGGTAACCTGCTGCAGTAACAGGAAACCCAGCACCTCATGGGCTCCATCCACTGAGCTCAGGTCATTCCAGACATTAACTCTAAATCCCATTACAGATCTAACAGATCTAAAGCCCAGGAGTTCAACCACACCAGGCTCTCCAACCTGTTTTACAGCTCCTGGTCTCTGACCTCTCTCTTAAAGGTCCGGATCACTTTTTCCACTACTAATCTTCCCAAAACTTTATTCCTTCTACCCTTGAAGTATGCCCTCCCTTTCCACCACCCACTCTTTACAGAGTTAATACTCACACACACCCAAGCTCAAGAAAAGGAAGTGAGAATGCTGGAGTAGCATATATGGCAAATATGTCCCAAACAGTCCAAATCTAAATCAGTCTAATCAACTACCACTGTGTCTCCAGCATCTGCAAGGCAAAGCTGAGCTCATCCCACTTTATTTGCCATCAGAAGACTGGCAGCAACTAGCAGTATTCCTTGAAGATCTTCTTCTCTTCTCCACCCCCTCCAACCTTACATGGTGCCCACAAATACCAACAGGCAAGAAAAACAACCCCGAAACAATGATGCAATTGAGAAAAACAACCTGGCAGGTAGAAGGACAGACTCTCACACTCACCTAGGTAAATGTCTCCAAACGAACCACTGCCAATCTTTCTGCCCAGCCGGTATTTGTTCCCTACTCGAAGCTCCATGGTTTAGTCGTGCTGAGAAAAGAAGCACAGAAAGCACAGTGTCAGAGCAGAAACAGGAAGTGAATCATGTAACACTACAGAAGAGACCTCCCCACTTCACCCAGAGGCTGAGTACAGTTTTAAATCTTGAAATACATCACTTTCTACATAGCCTCTATCACCTCTCCTATCTCCTGAACATCCAGGGAGAGCATGAGCTAGAAACACTGGAGGAACACAACCCTCTCAAGCATGTTTTCCATGTTCCCATTATTAGAAAGAAGAAGAATTCAATCTCTTCTCCATCATTTTGTTCAGAGACTGAGGAGGGGGTCAGGAAATCTCCCCTAAGAAGGTTTCAGTGGGTGATCATGCCACACCACTGTAAAGAGGTACTGCTCCTTGTACCCTACAGTACCTGGCACCAGGACGGAAGTAACCTCATGAGACACCAAAAAGGACAGGCATAATAAACCCTATGAGAAGAAGTTGCTCTCTGGCTCAGCCCTAGTCCAAACACCACTCGGTGGTGGTGAAGCATAGGACCCAAGAGCTGCAAGAGACAGACAGACTGCATCACTCGTAGGCAGAGGCTGGCACAAGGGACAGGGAGGAGACATCTTGCTGAACTGAACCCTTCGAGGCACGCACTGACTAGGAACAGCACTTGCTTATCTCCACAGGCTTCTGCTGATGGGATCACAGCCTCCTTTGGTCTACGTGAGCCTCTCCATCTCTGCTGCCTACCTAGGTGTGTCGGCTGTTTGTTTTTAGCAGCTTGGGCCTTCCCTCATCCCTTTACCTGAGGTGATTAGCTAACCCTTTGACCTGATATACCCCATCAACATGCCCAGGCTTAGCCTCCTCACCTTCCACAGAAAACCAACTAGGTGGAAGGACCACAGCCAGAGATTGTTCTCCCTGCCAACCTCAACTTCTGCTGCTAAACACCTCTGCCAAACACAGTTCCAGCAGTTCACCCTTAGCAGACCACTTTCCTTCGCCCCTTCTTATGGCCACCAACTTATTCTAGGAACCACATCTCTTCCCAAGACAGCCAATGCATCTTCTTTTAGAGGGATTTGCCACAGTCCTAATTTATGCAATGCCCCATTATTAGCGTACAAAATGCAGACACAGAGCCTGTTGGGGACAGGAAAGGTGAGGAATGATTCATGTTTTCACAAGTGGGTGAGAGGAACTTTCCCTTGCTGGAGCTTGGTGGGAAGGAAGCATCACTGAAGGAAAGAAGGGAGGAACGGCCTTGTGAGACAGAAGTACAAAAAAAAATAATCCCAGCTACAGGATTCCGGGCATACTATAAACCCAGAGCTGCTTCTCCTGCCCCAGGAGATGGGATTACAGAAAGAAGAATGGACGGACTGTAGAGATGTACAGGGAAATAATCCTATCAAGGCATTCAGGGGACATTGTGAACCCTGAAAGCAGAGCTCCAGTCACCAGAAACCACACACAAAACACTTAGAGGTGGAGTCCCCTCACCTAGTATTTACTTATGCATGTGGGTTTCTGTGCATCTAAAGTCTACAAAACCCTGTGGCTATTTCAGACTTTCTTACTACAAGGAATGTAGGCAGAGCCTTGGGAACCAAACCAGGAGGCAGGCGGACCTGGGCGAGGGCACAGCAAACAGACATGATTTTTATCCGCTGCCTGCTGTTCTGTATAACCACATTAACATACATCTGACTTGCTTACACTCCTACTCCAATAAACGATCAAAGGTCTGTGTCCCCGGGAACCTGTCACACCACTGTCAAGAAGACAGCTCTCAAACCTCCTTCCTTCATGGTGTGTTTACCTAGGCCTGTGAACCCTGAACATCTCCACTTGAGTCCAACTCCCAGCTGGGGTGAGCACAAACGACCACACGGCAGAGACTGGGCAATGGGTCTCTGCGGGGTCTCCTCTGCACCAGGGCACAGTGGGTACTGCTCTGCAACACCACAGCCCCAAGCCTAAATTCAGTCCCACCCTTCTGGGACAGACAGGAGCCAGGTTAAGAAGAGTTTCTCACACATGGAGGCAGCAGCCCTTCTAGCTGATTAAGCAACAGGCTCCAAAGGGGAATCTAAAAAATGCTCTAGGGCGCGGGGGTGGAAGCGGGAAGCAGGATAATGGAGTAAAAAAATCATGGTCTCGCACAGCTGTCATTTTGCCTTATCTCCCCCCCAGCACACACATACAAGTGTGCGTAGAAAACCTGGGTGGAGGATAGCCAGGGAGCAACAGCCTGGATTCATGGTCATGGGGCAGGACACACATCCCACCCCCTCAACAGCTGCTCCAGGAGTTCAAACACCTATCACATTTGCTTCTACTTCACACAAGTACCCCCACCATCTACAGGTTCCGCCCCTATAATCTGATCTTCAGGTCTACTGTTATAAAGAAAATTTTATATATAAAATATATATTCTTATATGTGACATTTATATTACTCCCTATATATTATTTAGATGTGTAAAATCTAAGACATCCCTCCTACCCACCCCCTCAGCAGGCTTAACCCCCCCAGCCCTGCCACCCTTCCTGCACTCTACAGCCAAGGCAGCATTCCCAGGGGCTGCAAGGCAATCATTTAGTTAAACCATTTAGTTTTCCATAAGGGATTAACACACATACAACCTCAAAGCGAGTGTGTGCTCTGCATGAGCGTTTGCATACGCGAATATCCAATACTACACAGCCTCAGAAAAATAATAATACTATCCAGCCGTCAGCGGTGCTTACACACACACACCATTTTGCACCAGCCCCTTTTATATAATATAAAATACCCACGTACAGGCACAAAGGCCATTATATAAACACACGATAAGAGTTGATACCACACTGCTGTGCCAGATAGGATGGCGACCAAAGATGCAGGGAACATCTTGGGCGGGGGGAGGGGGCTGGGGAACAGGAGGGCCACCTCTGTCCCACCCGAGGGGGTCAGGAATGAGAAGATGCCCTGTCTAGCAAAGGCCACGCAAAACCAAACCCACGGTTCCATAATGGAGGCTGCCGATCCCAGCACTGCTCTGGCTTTCAGTGGAAGTGTGGGGAGTGGGGGCTGCTCTGCTCATAGACCATGGAGGCTTTACACGGCCTTTTTTTTTTTTTGGTGGGGGGGCTGGGTATATGAAGGAAATAAAGGAAGAGGCTGGCAAAACAGTAATTTGAACTGGCTTAAAAACGGGATGTAAAAAAGAAAAAAACGCGGTTTTGATTGAAATGCAAAACATCAAACCCCTCCAGATCCTTTCACACTTACAATAAGGAGAGCAGCAAATAAGGTGGGGGGAGAAAAGAAACGCCATACACAGAGCATTTGGACTACATCTGAGGGAGAAATAGCCGCAACAGGAAAACAGGGAGGGGGGACACACACACAAAAAAAAATGTCCCTTACACCCCCACCCCCTACAGGCAAAACACTACGCGAAGACAGTCGTACCCGGGCTGTTATTTTTCCGGGTAGGTAACAAAAAGCTGCCACCCCCGGGAACGGCGCTGAACTTCTCCTCGTTCCCCCCACCTCGGCCCCGGCCGCGGCCATCGACCCCCGCCCGTACCGAGCCCCACAAGACGAAACGCCGACCCCTACAACCTCCCCCCAAACGCAGACACCCCTTCTCCCCCGAAACAGGCAAAGACGGGGGTTGGGGAGGGAGACAAGGAGCATCAGTGAACGGAAGGGGTGGGGGGTTTAAATCATCCGGGGGGCGGCCCCCCGCCGGGACCCCCGCAGTCCCCCGCCGAGAACACACGGCACCCCCCTCCCCGATCGGCCCCGCCGGCAGCCAGGCAGGGCCCCGGCAGGCGGAGAAAGGGAAGAGGGGGGAGCCTCCCCCCCCCCAATCTGCCGGTGGCGGAGGGGGCGACCCCCTCCCCGCGCCCCCACAAAGGGGCTTTTGTCCCCCGCCGCCCCCCCGGCCCAGCGCATCGCGCCCTGCCCTCCCCTCCCCCGCCCCCTCCCCCTCCCTCCGCGCACACAAAGAGCCGGAGGGGCCGCCTTTCCCCCGGGGTTTGCGCCCCAAGATGCGGGCGGGCGCCCCCCATACCCACCCTGACGGGAAGGGGGCCGTGTGGGGATGCTGCTCCGCCGGCTGTCAGGGGGCCAGGCGGCCGCGGCGGGGAGGATGACGGAGGATTGGGGAGGGCTGGTGGCGGCCGTGCCCGGCGCGTCCCTCCTTCGCTCGGCTCGGCGCGGCGCGGCGCTGCCTGCCGCCTCCCGCCCGCTCGCCGTCCCCTCCAGCCGGCGTGTGCTCGGTACAGCCCGGCGCTCACCCAGTTTCCATTGAGCCCCGGAGCCAAACCCACTGATGTCACCCAGCGCAGCCCCGGCCCTCCTCCTCCTCCGCCCGCCGTTAAAGGCGCAACCGCCGCCGCTCCCGCCGCCTTCCCGCCCGCCGCCCTCGGCTTCGGCGAGGGGGCACACACACACAGACACACGCACACACACGCACACACACACACGGGCTGGGCTTTGGGGGGCGCGACCCCGCTGAAGGTTTCTCCTCAGTGGGGCAACAGCAGGGTAGCCCCACACGGGGATGATCAAACATGGGTGCTGGGTGCCATCGCATTGGCGGTGGATGCCAAGCGGGGGTCCACCAGGAAGGCCAGTGAGGCATCAGAACCACCCCAACCCCACAGAGAAGGTCAGGGCTCCTCAGCCCGCACCCCTCAGGAGCAGGAACACACCTTGGGTGGAGCACTTGCAAATCCACACGAATGACGAAGCACACATATAAACCCTAACCTGGATAGACAAGGTCCATGGGGCACCCACCAGCAGATAGGTGCAAAGCTGGGGGTACCCCCCAGCCCCCAGGGTGTTTGGGGGCCAGGTGGCCACAGCAAGCCCCAGAGCATCTCTGAAAGCCAGCTGATTCAGGGGAGCAGCCATACATCAGACCTGTATGGTGGTGTAGGAGCAGACCCCAGGACAGGGAAGTATTTGCGGGCTCCTGGGAGATTGAGGCTGGATGGACAAAGGATGACGGAAGTGCTGTTGTGAGCTCTGGGAGCGGGACTGTAGGAGAGGCTGGAGGCCAGTGTAGGGTGAGCAGAAAGGGAACAGCAGTAGGACCTACAGCTAGAGCCAGATGATGCCCAGCTTCACAGGCGGGGATGCCTCATCAGGGTACAGGAGATGCTTCAGCACAGTCATCCCAAAGTCAAGAACCACGGTTCCTGAAGGAGGAAATAAGCGTGATAGGGAAGAACTCAGGAGCCCCCATACCAGTACAGCCCTTGGGTGCATCTAAGCCGGGACTCCAATGTCAACTTCTAAATACACAACATAAGCACGGGCTGTTGGCACCAAGAGGCCCAAGCTGCAGCCGTGCTGGCACCTTGCCCTACAGAAAGCAGTCTCTGCTTCAAGCCATACCAAAATGGTGGACTTCAACGACCTATATCTCACTGCCAGTTCATGCCCACACTGAGTTCTTGGGCCATTGAGACCTGGGAATATTTCCTCGCTTATGCAAGCCTTTGGGAACCAGTGCTGTTTCCCTCTCACTGCTGGGCCAGTTTTATCACAGAACTTTGCCTCCACTTGGAGAAGTTAAAATTTAATTGAGTTTTTCGTAGTAATGACATTTCCTTACACATGCTCCATTGAACCTCTGTCGTTTCACAGCTTATGTAACACTGAGCAGATGGGAAGGCAGGTGACAAAGTATGCAACCAGTGCCAGATCCAGCCAAGGGTTGGGTTACCCTCCTTCCCCGGGTGGGTGCACATCAGTCGAGAGGGGATTTGCTGGAGCACAGCATCACTCATGACTTTGCTGTGAGTGGCAGGCTCATATGCGCACTGAGCGAGGTGAGCTCTGACAGAGAGCCTGGAAGGATAGGTCTGAATCAGAATCCAGGAGAGGCAGCTCTCGGTATGGATGGTGGGAGCAGAGTTTGGGGTGACACTGACTGGCAGGCAAGTGCAATGTCTGTGAGGACAATGGCCATGCCAGCTCTCCCCCTGTTGCTGGCTGAGGCAGCAGGAGGGAATTTGAAAGAATCCCGAATGTAGATACAGTCCTGGGGGGTGAAATTGGAGTGTGCGCATGGACATTTCACTTACCTTTATTTTAATCATTTACAGCTTAAAATAAGAAGTCTTTAATTAGAAACATTCCCTTAATTGAATTGTAATCAAGTTTTTAGTGCTGGCTAACCACATGATCTAATAACACCCACCTTTCTTCAAGTATTGCCTAGTTACACCTCTTCTTATAGAGTAACTTTTATTAGGGAGCCTGGTCCAAGTGCTGCTGATTTTGGCAATGTGTGTAGCAGCCAGTACTGTGGGGACCCTGTCTGCGTCAGGGATGTCAGTGCTTCAGTGATGCAACAGGCAACTCCTACCCCAGTGTCTGAAAAAGGAAGGTGTTATATACAACACAAGCAGCAGGACTGTAACTAGAGAGAGGTTGGGGTTTGGTTGGAGAGGGAAGAAATTTGTGGGACAAGCAGAATCCACGCTCACAATCTGTGCTGGGTCATCTCTGTTCCTCTCCAGTAATTAAACTGGTGTGCAGCTGCAGTCACATGCATCTTTTCTCCTCTGTGCACTTCTCCAAAGATGAACACCCCCTCAGGTTCAGCCCTAATGAAGCACCACAATACAACAACCGATTTACACTAAGACTCTGTTCAAACAGCAGCACCTGGAAGGCTGTCTAACCTCCCAGACCCAGCAGTGAGACACAGCTGCACTCAAAACCCTATCCCAGGATTAAAACCCTGTAGGCCTTACCTCATCCTGTCTCCCTGGTTTGCCTGAAAGGGATCTTTGTAAGAGCATGGAAGAGAGTCCAAGCCCCTTAGCTCAGCAACTGGGGGACCTGCACATGGGACACCTCATGTCTACCTTTCCCAGGGTTCAGACATGGTCAAAGCATCCCTAGATGATACAGGGAGTGCTGCTTCTAAAGGCAGGCAAGCCGAAGATGGGCTGTATGGGGCTACATTTGGCTGCTGTCCTATTCATATGGGAAGGTCCTTAAGCTGTCCCCAGCAGTCAAGCTGCAGCACTGTAGAGGGAACCCATGGCAATGTGTTTGAGCTGAGTCTTGTGGGCTGGTGTATCCAGGGGGGCTGTACCTCACTGTGCACCCAGCCAGCCTCACCACTGCCCACCATGTCATTCCTCAGGTAGGAAAGGAAAAGAAAGACTAAAGTTGCTCTGTTTATTCACAGTGTTATGGCTGGGTGGCCTTCCAGAGTCACGGTATATGATATTCATAGTACCTAGTAAAACTCGTGGGAAAGCTGAGCTCCAGTGACCTAGCAGACCTCAGCTAACTGCCAGGTTGCATTTGGCAGCTCTGCCTGATCCACAGTGAGCAGAATCCCATTTCACCCACTATCTGGAGAAGGACATACTGCTCTGAAGACCAAAGTCACTTCACCACAGACAGACTTGCCTGTGCTAGGGAAGTGTGAGTAATCAGGGAAAGAGCAGAGAAAACTTTGACACTGTGCTGAAGTTCTACTTCTGCAAGGCCAGTGAAAGCAAGAAAAGATGAGAAACGAGAACAAACGCATTGGCACCTGCAATTCAAGAGCAAAGGTACCTGAGGAGGCAGGTACCTGTGGCTTGACACATCCAACAGGGCTGACAGAGTTCTTCAAAGCATTAACTCACAGTTCATTCAGAATATGCAGACCCCCACTCCAAAAACAATGATCAATGTACATTGGGTCTTCTTCACACAATATACACTCTAGTTTCTCAGTACTTTCCAAATAATAATGGATTTGTCTTTTCAATACTCATACCAAGCAAGAGAGTAGCATTTTAGAGAAGACCTAGCACTCCCAGAGGGAAGGTCAAATGCAGCCTGCAGGGTGGGGATGCTGATCCGAGTGCTTTGCCAGAACGCTCTGCATTTTAAAGCCTTTTCTAGAGTCAAGTGCAAGTCCCCATTGCAGGAGGGAGAAATAAATACTCCTGCAGATGAGACATCAGGATCCTAGGATAGCACAAGGCTAAAAACAAAGCAAAATGCCAAAATAAATAAAACATAGCTAATAGCTACCTCTGAAAAGATTGCTGTGAGTGACTCGCTCAGCATCAGGTAGGAAATCCGCAGCAGGGGCAGGGATCCAGGCCAACACACAACTGGCTCAGCAATGAGTCACTCCTTTTTCTTCACACTTTTTGGGGAAAAAAAACACAACAACAACAACAAAAAAAAACCAACCCACCAAATTATGCTGAGTCCCTGCAAAGAGCCTTTTTCATGGCATAGCCCAGACTCATCCAGAGCACCATCTAACCTGTGTGCTGCAGGTGTCCCGTGGAAAATAAATCTGTGGCCACATAATTAAAGACTCAACCATAATTCATATGCATGAGGACATTTAAGGGCAGTTGTACAGCCAGCCTTGGTGCTGACATTTCTCAGTGATGAGAAATGTGTATTCTGATAGAGAGCAGCAATTGCTTGTTGTCCTCAGCAAGGAGCAGCACTAGAAAGAGGTGAGACGTGCTGTTGGGTGGCATTTAGGGTAACAGTACAAGAACAGTAAGGCTTGGGAGGAAGACTTGGGAGGAGACCCTTGTTAGGGCACTGGAGAAATCTCTGGTCAGAGAAACACAAGCTGATATGGCCATCCTCCCTGTTCCCTTGTCCCCTCTAAGCTTTCCCATTTTTGGTTTCCTTTCTTAAGGCTTGTCACACAGCTCTAGGCTCTGGGCTCAGCCACTGCCCCCTCCCAGGTCCACCTCACCTGCCCTTCCCTGTTTCTTCCCCCAGTGTATGCCCAGGCTGAGTCTCTTGCCCAGACATACCAGGCTGGCTCAGCTGTGTGTCCTTGGCCAGTCAATCGCAACCTTCCCACCACATGCTGTCCCCCTCCACACAAGCTGCTCCCTATCGCTAGTCCAAGCCTTCCTGAGTAGACGGTTGGTGGGAACTCCCCTCCATCACCAGTTCCCATCTGTTACCAGAAACTCCCACTCCCCAGGCAAACAGTCTGAGTGCTGCCCATATCCCTCCCATCCCCTCTTCCTATTGCACTGACAATCACCCATCCTCTGCTCTTCCCATTCCACATCTCTAATCACCACACCTTTGCTCTTCCCTTTCCCCATCTCACTGCCCCAGCCAGCCTTGCTTCCTGCTCCCAGTTTTCCTGGTCAGCTAGTCCCTAGTCACCCCAGCAGCTCTCACGCAATAACCCCTTCGCAAACCAGACCTGGCATTTCCCTGCAGTTTGCAGTCTCATCTGCCTCCCAGTCTCATTTGCTCAGACTTTGGGTTTCCCTTCCCTATTCAAATCAGGGACTTTTCTCCACTAGGCTTCCCAGAAGGCGCAAGAGAGGTGGCCAGAAGTACAGGGCAAGGGAA